GCAAAAAAAAAAAAAAAAAAAAAAAAAAAAATGTAGAAAGCACATCCTGTGAGGTAAAATGTGATGGATCTATCTACATTAGATCTTTCCCCCCTCCCTTCCTCCCTCCCGCCTCTCTCTCTCTCTTCTCTTTCTTTCTCTCTTTTTCTTTCCTTCCTTCCTTCCTCACCGTGCAGCATGTGGGATCTTAGTTCCCCGACCAGGGATTGAACCTGTGCCCCCTGCATTGAAAGCGTGGAGTCTTAACCATTGGACTGCCAGAGAAGTCCCAATGTAACGATTTCTGTTCAACAAAAGACGTAAGTAACAGATGGATGGCAATCTGGGAATCTATTTTTTGCTGTGTATATCATCAACTAAGAACCAATATTTAAAATTTTTAAAGAACTTCTGAAAATTAACCAGAAAACCCAATAGAAAAGTGAACAAAGGGGAATTCCTTGGCGGTCCAGCAGTTAGGACTCAGCACTTTCACTGCCGTGGCCCCGGTCCAATCCCTGTTCTGCAAACCAAGGTCCTGCAAGCTATGGAGAGGCACTTCACAAAATGAGAAACCAAAATGTCTCATAAGCATATTAAGATATTTTCAATCTTTTTAGTAATCAAATAATGCAAATTCAAACAATAGTAACATACTACTTTAGGCCCCTCAGATTTACCAAAATTAAAAAGTTGTATAAAACCTTCGATAAGGATGTAGGGAAACATGATCAGCTGATGGGCGTGTAAACTTGAGCCATTCTGGATAATATTTTGGAGGTATTTAATCACAAGCATACAAAAAAATATATACACAAAGCCCACTCCCCCTCAGAAAAAAGAGAAAAAAACCCACAAACACCTTAACACATACAAGAATGTTTATGGTAGCATTATCTACAAAGTGAATACTTAGAAACACAGAAGGCACTCAACTTGATATTTAACTGAATTCGAGTTCAGAAAGGTGATAGAGGAGAGTTTCCTGCCCTATACAGTAGATTTCTTTAAGGACAAGAACCATAGTTTATCTTTGTATCCCTGTGCATATGGCTTGATAGGAGATATTCCATAGCTGTTTGTTAAACTGACTAGTAGTGAAACAGAAGTTTTTAAGGAGCTGCAAGAAACATTTGGTAACATTACATCCATTGTCCTTGGTTAGTCACACAATTTATGGTTAGCAAACAGAGACTAGAAAACAAAGTCACATGCCATGGTCCAGTACTCTCTATTACATTATTTTCTCTCTTCAATTGTCTGGTATGACATTCAATGGAAAAAATAGGGCACATTTTCACTTTTTCTATAGAAAATTCTTTGAAGAGTGGTAGAGAGTTATAAAGTCCTGTTTATTCTAGTTTAAAAAGCATTTGTCTAATGATGTTAGAGAAGAATTTTTCTAAGCTATAAACAAGAAATTTACATCAGAATTTTGTATTCTCAAACTTCAGTCATTCATGTTTCACCTGCTCAATTTTTTCCGTGTCCATGTATCATTATTTACTTCATGCTTTTTCCTTAACTGTTTGCTTTAAAAAAAAAAGTTCTGTCTTAAGTAAAAATATTCATGAATCAGATCTGATGTTACATTTCACAACATATAATTTACAACCATGAAAATAAAACTATGTACTATATATATTTTTATATGTTGTGCGCTTTATGAGTCTGGATTAGATGATTTCTGAGGTTCCTCCTGATTTCTGAGGTTCCTCCTAAACTAACATACTGTCATTTTGTGTTAGTTTCTCTACTTCAGCAATTTAGTTGTTCACTAAAGAACACTGGATCAGTGCCACAAGGCACTTAACCATAATCTTGTAACCATAAAGGAAGAAGTGCCATGAGGGAATTTCCTGGCGGTCCAGTGGTTAGGACTTGGTGCTTTTACTCCATGGCCTGTGCTCAATCCCCTGTGCTCAATCCCCGGTTGGGGAACTAAGATTCTGCAAGAGCTGCACAGCCTCCTCCCTGCCCCGCCCCCCGCAAAAAAAAAGTGCCATGATATTATGCTTTAAAAATTTCTAAATTCAGCACTGCTGTTAGACAGAAATTTATAAAATATTTGCAGGGTATAGAAGCGAGTGATGTGGTGGGTATATGGTATGAAAGGATTAAGTTATTTTAAACAGTTTGGAGAATACAGAGAAGGAAGAATTAAAGGAAAAAATCCACTCTCACCTTGCTAATTGGGAAAATTTTAATCTTTTGAGACTTTCTGAAAATCCAAATGAGGTGTGGAAGAGTTGCACAGAGGAGGGTAATCAGTCATAGAATACAGTTCGAGCAATATGTTTTTTAAAAAAACATAATGCTATAGCAGAGAAGTGGTAACCCTAAATAAAATGTGCAGGGTAGGCAAGAAAAGAGAATTCAATAGTCTCAGATTTCAGCCAACTAAAATCCAAAACATCATGGTAAATGGTCTTTAGGCAGAGGATCAAAAAACAAAAACAAAAAAACACTACCCACCAGAAATTACATTTCTGTGTTATTTTGGTATGATTCCAATTCCTAATCTCAGCTTATTCTGAAGAATAAGGGCAAAAGTATCAATGATTTCAACTGTAATGTTTTTCAGTAGTGGACAGTATCTGGATAAGATATTTAAAAACTAGAAAACATTTTTTATTCAAAACATTCTTTTCATTAAATTTTTCAATGTGTAATTCATTCAGCTCAATATTTTTAGCAAGAAAAAAATTATCCAGGTCATATTTGTTTGCCTATTTAAAACTCAAAATAAACAAAAACTTAAAGGTTGTGACAACAAAAATCCCCCTAAAAAAGTATCTAAATAGTCATACCTTTTAAAGTATGGGATTAAGACTAGTAGATGACACAATATTCCTATTTAGCAATGTGAGAAAATTGTTTCTTTTTACAGTGAAGAAATTACTTTTCATAAATGTGATTTATTTTGGGTTCAGGTAGTTACCAGTTTAATACCAAGGTTACTAAGGAGAATGAACTTAACAAGGAAGTTGTGGTGATGCTTTAATATGGAAAAATCTTTATATAGAAAATTATTTTTCAAATCACTAGTATGAAGTACACTCCAAGCAACTAACAGACTATTAATATTTTGTTTTTTAAACTTACAAATTGAGCATACAACTTCATGTAATAAACATGTAAATTACATGTGACTTTTAGCTTTGTGAATTTATATTTTACACCCTAAGTGTACATACACATTTCTTTCTCTTAGATTTGACTGTTGTCTTAAGAGATTAATTTATGGAAAGCTAAACCAATATAAGGTATATTTGTAAATCCATAAACTCAATGCCATGAATAATTCTTGTAGATACTCTATCTTCAGTCATCAGAACTTGAGTTACAAAGGAATATATATTCAAAAGTTCATTTTTAATTTATAGGGATGAGACTGTTAATCGTAGGGAAAAACTAGCCAGATTTGCTTCTCTGTTGGGATTTACAGTTAGTTAAACTATTTATTTTCAATTAAATAAAAAGTACTGATTCTTTTAAGCCAATCTGCTTCTCAAGAGGATTGTGGCTATTTGATACGTATTTTTTTCTTTTGGCTGTGCCGCACGTCTTGGGGCATCTTTGTTCCCCACCAGGGATCTCACTCGTGCCCCCTGCTGTGGACGCATGGAGTCCTAACCACTGGACTGGCAGGGAATTCCCATGGCTATTTGATTTTTATTAGCTTTTTCAAATTTATGTCACTTATAGTGCTTTTAAGTCATGAAAATTCCATCAAAAATTAATCACAGAAGTTTGGGGAGTATATTAACCTGCTTGTAAAAGGTAAGACTGGGAGAACAAGCTGAGTAAGATTAACTGCAAATTGCCAGGAATTAAGTAATTCAATGCTTTGAAAATCAGATTTAAAAACTAGGAATAGTGTTAGTTTATTGGGGAAAAACAAAACACTACTGGCTACACCTGCCAATAATTCAGCAATACCTAACAGGCTACAGACCCTGTGAAACAGAGAAACTGGTTAATATGTGATGATACAAACTCAGAGGAATGAGAAAGGTGATTTAAAATGGTAAAACTGGCAAGTTCACAAGCAGGAAATTTACAAATTTACAAGCTTTTGAGTACCACACAATCATTTTCAAATAACATGAACTGCAAAGTGAAGATGAAAAAAAAAGATCACTACTGTTCACTACTGCCAAGAATTCTATTGTAGTGCTAATAAACATCACCATCTGTTACGTATTCTCGAGTCACAAGAGTACAGTGGAAATGTCTGTCTTTGCACAGAAAAAATCTAGAAGCAATTAGAAAATTTTCTTTTTAAGTAGGTTTGTTTTTCCAAAGAAGTTCATTTAGCTAAAAATATAGACTTGCTACCTCAGCAATTTATGGTCAGTCATAGGCTTATTTGAAAGCTGAGTCAAAGCAAAAAGGTTTTATTGGACAAACTGTCAGTGAGATGTGGCCTCAAGCTGCAGATTCAGCAAAAAAGCACTAAATTATATGGTTCTAAAACTTGGATTTAATACCTCTGGAGTAGTTGCATTACAATCTCTAATTTGATTACTAACACCTGATCAAAAGTAAAGCTGTAAAATACACAATTAAAAAAAAAACCCAGGCATTATTTATTTAAGGTTTGTTTCCTGAAAATCAAATTCCTGAAGCTGGATGTATATTAAAAAATTATAGACAGAATTACCAAGAAGGTAGTTGAATGGCTAGGTTACGTAGTTATGAAAAACATCCCAAGGACAAATCTTAGATTTTTATGTAACATGGTGTAATGGAAACATAACTACACTGGAAGCCAAATAACTTGGATTCCACTCCTGTCTGCTATAACTGGTTTTGGGACCCTGGCCTAATAATAACCCTAAGTTTCTGTTTCTGTAAGAAACTTAGAAACCTAGAGGGTGTAGACCAGATCGTTTCTAATGTTTTCTTACAATTTCATTATAATTTTAAATCTTCTAAGAAATATTTACATCAGACAGCTCTACCTGGAATGTGATAATCAGATAGAATGGTAGTTTTTAGGAATACAGGTATGCATATATAACAAAATGGTGGAAATAAAAATGATTGGTTTTGAAAAACTTGTTGCTGCCACCATTCTCAAAACAGACTCAATTCCCATGGGTCTTGAAGTAAAAAAAAACACTGTGGGTCATAAATCAGTCTTTTCAACTACATCAATATTTCTGAATGACAATATAGTTAGTGACAGTGTTTATTATATTTGAGGTCAATGATGCACAAAATGCTATCTCCTTGATACTATAAAAAGCTGTTACTGAATTGTAGTTGTGCCTCTCCCTCACTCCCCTCAGTTCATATGTTGAAGTCCTGGGCCCCAGTACATCAAAATATGAACTTATTTGGGTATAGTGTCTTTATCAAGTTAAAATGAGGTTATCAGCGTGGGCCCTAATCCAGTTACTGGCTGGTTCCTTGTAAAAGGGTCAAAGTTGGAAACAGACTTGCACTCAGGGAGAAGATGATGTGAACATGAAGATAGCCACGTACAAGCCAAGGAGAGCAGCGGGGAACAGATCCTTCTCTCACAGCTCTCAGAAGGAATCAACTATGCTAATATTTCAATTTTGAATTTCTAGCCTCTAGAACTGTGAGGCAATAAATTTCTATTGTTTAAGCCACTCAGTTTGTGATAATTTGTTATGGTAGCCACAGGAAACTAATACAGATTGATTTACCACTATCAAAAGTAATCTATACATTTTCATACAGCAACCCCTATCTCCCACATCTTCCTATTTCTATTTTAATACTTCAGAGGGTTTTCTCAGAAAATGATTTGATATCAGAAGTTCGGGCATGACTTTGCAGTTGCATAACTCTAAATGAAATGTGAACAGATTATAAATAACCTGTTTATTCATTTATAAATGAATTATGAAATGTTACTTTATTGTCGAACCCCTTACCACTTTCTCCCCATTTAAAATTATTTAGCACACAGATGGGGTTAAAATAGAGTGAGAATTAAAAAAAGACTGCCAAGAAAACCAGATCTCTCCTTCTTACCATAACGCTGGCCTCCTAGCGTCACTGAAAGAATCACACAGATGGGGAGTTCACTGATTGCCTTGGGGATAATAATTGTTGGGGAATGCAAAAGGAGGGTCTGGATCTTATTAATGGGAGTATCACTGGACTTAGGTGCATATTATGTTGCACTTTAGTTCTGGTAGTACAGTACTTTAACGACTTCATACATGAAAAACTGATCTTGTTTTGAGTTTAAAGAAGAAAAAGTTTACAGCACCTATGTTTACGGAAGGAAAACTATAGTCTAATTTCTTCAGTACATCTGTTTCTTATCGATTTATGAAATCAGAGAACATGCCAGACGACGATAGTCACCAAAAGCGGTTAAAACTACCAACTACAATACATTGAAAATACCACATTTAGGATACAATTATATACTGAAAAAGGTAGCAATGCCAAGAAAAAAAATTTAAAAAGATCTTGTTAAAGACAGTTCTCATAAGTTGTGTTTAAAATCATCCATTTTAACATCTGCAAAAAAGTCAACTTTATTATTTTACATCAACATTATGGAAGTTAAAGAGAACAATCAAGTTGTCTCATGGACTGGAAGGTGACTTATTAATTCCCTTTCATTTCCAAACCTCATTAAGCAGTCACTACATTTATGAGGTAAATCAGCCGAATGCTTGAAATCTAGATGAATTTTAAGATCTTCAATCTGTCCTGTTGAATATTCACAATATTGACATAAATAAATCCCTTCAGATAAATGTGAATTTAAATGTTTGCAATATTCTAGCATGCTTGAAAAGCCTTTCCCACAGTCATCACAAACATGAGGAAAAATTTTAGTATGTTCAATAGCAACATGCCTGTTAACATTTGTATGAAGTCTACTCCGAAACCCACATACTTGACATACAAAGAAGTTTTTACATTTGTCAAATGTAATTTTGCTTAAGAGGCTGTACTGTCCATGTTCTCCATTGTTATACTTATCACTTAACTCTATTAATTTACATGCATGCTCATTTACCACGTGGCTATGCAAGTCTTCTGGATCATTCGTTTCATGTTCACAGAACTGACACAAGTACTGTTCATCACAGCTGTGCTCCTGGAAATGTAGGTAGAGTTCACTGCTTGAGGAGAACTGTACATCACACTGCTCACACCAATAAAGGTGATCACTAAAATGGGTGTCTGCAATGTGCTGGCTGAGGTTCTCAAAAATTACTGTCTTATAATCACAGTATTTACAAATGTAGGGATCCTCTTCATGCAGTTTGGCATGTTCGATCAGGAGCATGTTGGTAGAGAAACTTTCTTTGCATACTCGACAGACATTTGAATCAGTACGCTTATGCTTCAAGATCATATGCTGCTTTAAATCAGAAAAATATTTGCTGTTGAACTCACAAAGTTCACATTTATAGAGGCCACTGCTATTAGCTCTCAGTAAAGGCCATTTCTGCTGGGCAGTCACATTAAAAGCTTGGCTCTTGTCAAGAATTTTGCAAAGTTTAGCTGGTGGCTCTTCATCAGTTTGGTCTTGGAGACTCTCAGAGGAATTGTTTTCTGTCTCTATATCATAATCTTCAGAAATTGCATGCACTTCCGCAGCAATTGGAACATCTTCAGCAGTGTGAACTTCTATAGGGCTCTCCTCTTGAGTTTGCTGGTTGACTGATTCAGGGGAGTCGCACTCTTCATCACAAATTTCAATATCAGCAGATTTTTCTAAATAAAACAAGGCTATTATTATTATTATTACTAAATAAGACCTACTAAATAAGTCACTGGCAAAAAGAAATTTATTTTACTTATTATTTTTTCACTGACCTATACAAAATGTGCAAATTCTATTAATTACTTTCCCTTACCTGTAGAAAAGGCAGTGTGATCTAGAATTCTAAGTACAGGACTGGGAACCAGGTAGTTTTGATTTCTGTTTCTGGCCTTGATTCCATCTGTAAATTTTGGCAAGTCATTTGATGTCTCTGTATCAGAATCATCATCTGTGAAAAGTGATTTGGAAAAATATTTATTATTTATATAAAAGCATTAAACATTATTATAAAACAAAGCACAAATGTTTTTAAATATAATTTAGAATTCCAACAGAACTAAGGACTTAAATTTAGCTATGAAAAGCTTTGTTATCTGCGTACCACAGATACACAGAAAATCTGTCCAAACAAGCAACTACTTTTGCTTCCATGCCCTATTTGGACAAGAATACACTTTTTAAAGTTACTTAGGAATTTTAACTTGAAATTACTGAGTCTGAGTAAGTCTTTATTCCCTCAGCTCAGCCCTAATGTGTGTTTATTTTTTAACACTTTAATTGGAATATAATTGCTTTACAATGGTGTGCTAGCTTCTGCTGTATACAGTGAATTAGCTATACATATACATATGTTCCCATATCTCTTCCCTCTTGCGTCACCCTCCCTCCCACCCTCCCTATCCCACCGCTCTAGGTGGTCACAAAGCACCGAGCTGATCTCCCTGTGCTATGAGGCTGCTTCCCGCTAGCTATCTATTTTACGTTTGGTAGTGTACATATGTCCATGCCACTCTCTCACTTTGTCACAGCTTAGCCTTTCCCCTCCCCATATCCTCAAGTCCATTCTCTAGTAGGTCTGTGTCTTTACTCCCATCTTCCCCTAGGTTCTTCATACCATTTTTTTTTTCTTTTTAGAGTCCATATATATGTGTTAGCATATGATATTTGTTTTTCTCTTTCTGACTTACTTCACTCTGTATGACAGACTCTAGGTCCATCCACCTCACTACAAATAACTCAATTTCGTTTCTTTTTATGGCTGAGTAATACTCCATTGTATATATGTGCCACATCTTCTTTATCCATTCATCTGTCGATGGACACTTAGGTTGCTTCCATGTCCTGGCTACTGTAAATAGCGCTGCAATGAACATTGGGGTACACATGACTTATTTATTTATCTATTTATTTATTTATGGCTGCATTGGATCTTCATTGCTGTACGCGGGTTCTCATTGCGGTGGCTTCTGTTGCGGAGCACGGGCTCTAGGTGTGTGGGCTACAGTAGCTGTGGCTCGAAGGCTCTAGGGCACAGGCTCAGTAGTCGTGGCGCACGGGCTTAGGTGCTCCACGGCATGTGGGATCTTCCCGGACCAGGGCTCGAACCCGTGTCTCCTGAATTGGCAGGCGGATTCTTAACCACTGCGCCACCAGGGAAGCCCATGTGCCCTTTTGAATTATGGTTTTCTCAGGGTATATGCCCAGTAGTGGGATTGCTGGGTCATATGGTAGTTCTATTTTTAGTTTTTTAAGGAACCTCCATACTGTTCTCCACAGTGGCTGTATCAATTTACATTCCCACCAACAGTGCAAGAAGGTTTCCTTTTCTCCACACCCTCTCCAGCATTTATTGTTTGTACATTTTTTGATGATGGCCATTCTGACCGGTGTGAGATGATATCTCATTGTAGTTTTGATTTGAATTTCTCTAATGATTAATAATGTTGAGTATTCTTTCATGTGTTCATTGGCAATCTGTATATCTTCTTCGGAGAAATGTCTATTTAGGTCTTCTGCCCATTTTTGGATTGGGTTGTTTTTTTTGATATTGAGCTGCATGAGCTGCTTTTAAATTTTGGAGATTAATCCTTTGTCAGTTGCTTCATTTGCAAATATTTTCTACCATCCTGAGGGTTGTCTTTTCATCTTGTTTACGGTTTCCTTTGCTGTGCAAAAGCTTTTAAGTTTCGCTAGGTCCCGTTTTTGTTTTTATTTCCCCTTCTCTAGGAGGTGGGTCAAAAAGGATCTTGCTGTGATTTATGTCATAGTGTTCTACCTATGTTTTCCTCTAAGAGTTTGATAGTGTCTGGCCTTACATTTAGGTCTTTAATCCATTTTCAGTTTATTTTTGTGTATGGTGTTAGGGAGTGTTCTAATTTCATTCTTTTAATGTAGCTGTCCAGTTTTCCCAGCACCACTTATTGAAGAGGCTGTCTTTTCTCCATTGTATATTCTTGCCTCCTTTATCAAAGATAAGGTGACCATATGTGCGTGGGTTTATCTCTGGGCTTTCTATCCTGTTCCATTGATCTATATTTCTGTTTTTGTGTCAGTAACATACTGTCTTGATTACTGTAGCTTTGTATTATAGTCCGAAGTCCGGGAGCCTGATTCCTCCAGCTCCGTTTTTCTTTCTCAAGATTGCTTTGGCTATTCGGGGTCTTTTGTGTTTCCATACAAATTGCGAATTTTTTTGTTCTAGTTCTGTGAAAAATGCCAGTGGTAGTTTGATAGGGATTGCATTGAATCTGTAGATTGCTTTCGGTAGTAGAGTCATTTTCACAATGTTGATTCTTCCAATCCAAGAACATGGTATATCTCTCCATCTATTTGTATCATCTTTAATTTCTTTCAGCAGTGTCTTATAATTTTCTGCATACAGGTCTTTTGTCTCCTTAGGTTTATGCCTAGGTATTTTATTCTATTTGTTGCAATGGTAAATGGGAGTGTTTTCTTAATTTCACTTTCAGATTTTTCATCATTAGTGTATAGGAATGCAAGAGATTTCTGTGCATTAATTTTTTATCCTGCTACTTTACCAAATTCATTGATTAGCTCTAGTAGTTTTCTGGTAGTGTCGTTAGGATTCTCTATGTATAGTATGTCGTCTGCAAACAGTGACAGCTTTACTTCTTCTTTTCCAATTTGGATTCCTTTTATTTCTTTTTCTTCTCTGATTGCTGTGGCTAAAACTTCCAAAACTATGTTGAATAATAGTGGTGAGAGTGGGCCACCTTGTCTTGTTCCTGATCTTAGTGGAAATGGTTTCAGTTTTTCACCATTGAGGATGATGTTGGCTGTGGGTTTGTCATATATGGCCTTCATTATGTTGAGGTAAGTTCCCTCTATGCCTACTTTCTGGAGGGTTTTTATCATAAATTGGTGTTGAATTTTGTCAAAAGCTTTCTCTGCACCTATTGAGATGATCATATGATTTTTCTCTTTCAATCTGTTAAAGCCCCAGTGTTTTAAAGTTAACATGGACAAGCTGAAATGCCAGCCAGTAGTGAAAACTGCACTTCAACATCAGGTCTTTATGGTTTAGAAGTTTCAGATTTACAGGAAAAAAAAAAAAAAAAAAAAGACAGTACAGAGAATTCCCATATATCCTCCATTCAGTTTCTCCACTCTTAACATCTTACATTAATATTTGTTACAATTAATGACCAATACTGGTAAGTTGTTATTAACTGAAGTCCATACTTCATCCAGATATCCTTGGTGTTTATGTAATGTCCTTTTTCTGTTCCAGGATCCCAATCAGGATACATACCATTTAGTTGTCATGTCTCTAGGCTATTGTTAACTGTGGTAGTTTCTCAGACTTCCCTTGTTTTCGAAGACCATGACAATTTGAGGAGACTGGTAAGGTATTTTGCAGGATGTCCCACTAATGAACTTTGGTTTTTTTTCATGATTAGACTGGGATTATGGATTATTGGGAGGGAAACACAGAGGCAAACTGTCAAGTTTTATCGTATCATATCAAGAGTACATACTATTAACTTGGTTTATCACTGTTGACGTTGAACTTGATAACCGGGGTATTTATCAGGTTTCTTCAATGTAAAGTCACTCTTTTACTTTCCATACTCTATGCTTGGAATTAAGTCGCTAAGTGCAGTCCATACTTTAGGAGTGGAAAGTTATGCTCCACCTCCTTGAGTGAGGAGTATCTACATAAATCATTTGGAATTCTTCTGTACAGATTTGTTTCCTCTCCCTTAAATCAGCCATTTCTCCAAGAAGCCCTTGTTCCTTTTATTGGAAAATGGTATTAGAAACCAAGATCTGGACACTAGATGTGCTCATTGCTACTGGGCTGTCATTTCTGCTAGGCCCCCTCAGCTAACACAGCAAATAATATGTGCATGTACACTGCCATGTATATATAGATATACCCATAAATGTTTCTGTATGTAACCATTTGTGTCTATATTAAGCCAAACATGAGTTCATACTGATGTCTCTGACTCTGCATGTTCTTTTCTTAAAATTTATTTTTATTTTTTTTAAAAAATATTTATTTATTTGGCTGCACTGGGTCTTAGTTGCAGTACGTGGGATCTTTCAGTTGCGGCATGCAGTCTCTTAGTTGCAGCATGTGGGATCTAGTTTCCTGACCAGGGATTGAACCCAGGCCCCCTGCACTGGGAGCACGGAGTCTTAATCACTAAGCACCAGGGAAATCCCTGCATGTTCTTTAAATAATTTATGTATCTGTGCCTATAATAGGAGCTCACGGGAACTGGGAGTTTTGATTATTGCAGAGGAAGAAGAGAACAAATGCAAGTTACTATTCATCTTATGCTCTAGAAAAGAGGAGTCAATAGAAGATACAAGATTGAAAATGACCAAATCCTTCACCCTCTGTTCTTTCCTTCCATTAGCCCTCCAGACTGAAAGGTATAGCTGAGTGGAAGAACTGTGTGTAACAGTATTCTTTACCTTTCATCATAAATGGTCCAAACTCTGGGTCATTCCTGCTTTGCCACTGATTCCTAGCTGATTAAAATTGATTTAGGAGGATCTGTTTTTGATTTATATCTCTGAAATAATGTTAAAAATTAAAATTCACTTTCTTACACAAAACTCTTTTGTTTTCTTAAGTTTAAACACTTGCCCATTTTGAAATCATCACTTTCACCCACATTTTCAAAAATGAAATGAAAAATTATAAAAGCAACTTAAAGAAAAATATTTTGGAAAATTTAGATATACCTTTGTTGTCAAAATATTTTAAGTCTGGTTGTCTCATAGAACAAACACTATAACAATGATCAGAAAAAATGCCATTGAATCCATCTGCAATTCTGCTTATTCCAGAGGAATCTGAAAACAAAATTTTAAAAATTTCAAGCATACTGAACATATATACATTTAATGACAGCAATCTCTTTATCCAACATATATAAAATTTCATAGTATTTGTAATAAAGTATTAATATTTCCCTCAATTCTCAAGGTTTTTATAATTCAGATCTGACACTGACTTTGAGCTTTGAAAGAACCATAAATTATACAATTTAAAATATAATACTTTGAAGCACACAAAGATACAATTGCCTTGGTCAGAATCCCACAAAATATAAATATGCAATATATATGTTAATTGCAAAAAACAAAAACAAAAATAACAAACCAAAAAAAACATTGAATTAACTACCAAGAAGATCTGCCATGTACTGTAGGAAAAGCATAACACATAGGGGAAAGTCTGAGGACCAGTTAGGGCTCTGAATACAGTCATTTCAACTCTTGCCTGGGAAGTGCCAGTAAGCAGTAAACCAGGCTTAATTTCCTCAGATACGAAAAATGTGTAGGTTGGGTTGGTTAACAGGTATACCTGAAACTGCCCCAAGTATATGCATGTGAGTTGCATTTGTTACAGATGGCCAAAGACATCTTATTTGCCAAGACAGCAGAGCCAACCTCAAAGAAAGGATCTAAAATTACACAATCAAAAAGAAATTCATATTTCTGAAAATAATGTACAAGATAAAGTATTTTCCCAATGATGCAAAATATCTTCCACCAAGGTTATTGCTGTGCCTTAAGCACAAGCTTGGGAATCACACAGGCAAATATCAATTATGCTGTATAAGTATGTAACCTTGGATATTGAATTTTAAATATCTATAAACCACGAAGTTGTGAGGAATAAACAATGTCTGTAAAGTTCTGATGTGTGCTTAGCACATGGCAGACATTGAGAAATATATATTCAGAGAATTTATTTAAAGTTTACTCTTACCTAAAAGTTGACCCAGATATTTAACTCTTATCAAATAGATCATTTATGAGAAAATGATGGAAACACAACTGCACGGGAATACATGGCCTAACTTTTAAATAATTTAATCACACACTGACCTGAATAACGAGAAGGGTGTAAAGTCTTCCTTTTTCTTTTTTTAGGATATTCATTCATATCTTTTTAATCTAAAAATGGAAAAATTTAACAAATATATCACAACTGTTAAAAAATTTTCTTCTAACCAAATAGTTTATTGGCAATAGGAAGTATGTGTGCCACATGAAAATCCACTTCATAAGAGAAATGTTAAACAATCCTTCTGCTTACATTTTGGATTTATTTTTCTATCAAGTTTAAAGGCAGGACACCAAGTTCTGTTTTCTTTCTTACTGAGGTTGAGAACTCCTTTTCAAATGTGGATGTAATTGTGAAAACTGGATAATAACATAAGCCTTATGCTTAATTTTTTATAGAAGACAAATTGTGCATATGGCACCAAATTAAGGGTTTTACAGGTACATTTCTTAGAGTTGGGAATATTTTGATGCAGTTTTGAAGCCACAGGTAGATAGATTCCCTCAAAAAAATACTGTCACAAATCTGTATTGATGCCCTGGCTTCAGGAAAAACAAAAAAACAAAAAAACAAAACTCATTGTATAGAAGCTCAGAATATAACTTTCAAGAAAAAAATCCTTTTCTGACTTATGAGGTCACATTCAACATTCCGTCGAGAACAAAAGAGTACGGCAGCCACTGAATGATTAAATTCCGACAGACTGTTATAGAATTGACTAATTAGTTTTACTACATCCCACTTACTTGGTATAATTCTTAATACTGGAGTGAGGAAAAATGAATTACAGGAAGTTTTCACAGATGGTAAAAAAAATGCCTGTAGAAAAAAACATGACAGAAGTCTTATGAGCAAAAATGTAGTTCATTTCTGAGACACAAGAATACAATGGTGGGCTTCCCTCGTGGCACAGTGGTTAAGAATCTGCCTGCCAATGCAGGGGACATGGGTTCGAGCCCTGGTCCGGGAAGATACCACATGCTGTGGAGCGACTAAGCCCATGCGCCACAACTACTGAGCCTGCGCTGAGCCCTCGAGCCATAACTACTGAGCCCGCGTGCCACAACTACTGAAGCCTGTGCGCCTAGAGCCCATGCTCCACAACAAGAGAAGCCACTGCAGTGAGAAGCCGGCACACTGCAACGAAGAGTAGCCCCCATTCGCTGCAACTAGAAAAAGCCTGTGTGCAACAACAAAGACCAAATGCAGCCCCAATAAATAAATAAAATTAGTTTTTTAAAAAAACGAATATAATGGTACCAGATCTTAGTCAACTAGAAAGCTATACAGAATTAACTCAAGTACAATATTCTTTTGAACATACTGTATTAAGTACTAAAACTTGTGTAAATCTATAAATATGTGACTATATGTAAATGTGAAGTATCCTGTGAAGTACAAATTCATTGAAATGAATTTATCTTCTAAAGCTATAGTTGTATCTTAACACCGAAATAGGAATATAAATCTCATTAATTTATTTAGCCACAGTGAAAGCCAATATAATGCAAGCCAACTCCAAATTAGACTTTAAACTGTTTAAATCCTTATAGATTATTTAATAAAGTATAATAATGATCATTTGAACACCAATTATGTACCATGCTGTTGTGTACATTATTTTATTTAACCCTATGATTTGCAAAATCCACAACACTCTCAAAATCGCTATTCTTTACCCTTTGTTACTGATGAGGAAACTGAGGCATAGATTTAAGTCAGGGGAATACTTAATAAGTGACAGGGTTGGGATTTGAACAAAGATCTAACTGATTTTGAAGACCATGCTTTCAATCCCTTTATTTTAGTTGTGGAAACAAATAGGGAGACAAAGTGATCACCCCAATTCAAGTAATAGCTTAGTGTCAGAATCAGAACTGCCTACTCCATTTCAGATTAGTGTTCTTTCCACTGTAGCATTGGGAAAGTAAGGAATGTCAGGAAAAAAAATGCATCGTGAAGTCTTCTCTACCAGCTTATAAACTGCTTTTCTTATCACCACGGTGATATACTATATAGCAGGTAGAACTTGGCATCATTACTAAGACCATCTCATTTCTAGTGGTAAGGAACTTGAGGTGAACATACTATTTTTGCTGTTTCACTAAGTTCTGGGTATATCAGCACTACATGTGCTGTTATACTACACTTATAGTGCTGCTGAGTTTATTGCAAATTTTCCTTATTTTATTTGATCTTCACAACAATCCTGTGAAGTACATAGAAGGGCTACTATCAAATCCACTCCAATATTACTGATGAGAAAACAAACTCAGGGAAAGTCAAGTCAACAAAGTAGCAGAACCAGAGATGAAAAAGCATGTTTTCTGACTTCTGGGTTTTGAGCAACTAACTGTGTGAGTAAATCTTCATTTCTAATCACTGATACCAGAAAGTTACGTCTTGCTTCCAGTTCTTACTCAGCCACCAGTTGGGAGGAGGGGAAGGGAATCACCCAAAGAAATTGACAACAATGATTTACAGAAATGGTATCAATATATATAATGCCTCACCTAACAACACAAATAGCATTCCTTGAGCCCACCCCCATCAAGTGCATTAAAAAATAAAAAAAAGAAAAGCTGTTTTCCTATTTATGTAATAAACTAAAATCTCAAGACTTATTCCTAATACCTTTTGTACACTTCCAGAATTTACACAGCTAAAACCTTTATACTTCATGTTCTAAATGTTCTACAAGTATCAGATAGAACACTGAAAACTGTCAACCGAGCATGTTAAACACTTCAAATTCTTTCAAAAAAACAAGAAAAGGAAACCAACTACGGCATTAGAATTAATGTTAAGCTGGCCTGGATTCAGATGTCAGGTGGAAGGAATAGGATCACCTTGATCAGGAATTGTTTGACTCCTACTTAGGGCTAAACAATATCCAAATGCTCACCAGACCTCCTTTAAGCCAAGATGGTAAAATGCCCACTCAAGACCAAAAATGCTAACCATCCTTCATTTCAGCAAATGTTTTTAAGTGCCTTTTGTATGTATAACTGCCCTGATGAAGAAGTTTGGCTTTTTTACTTAGGTATGTCACATACACATTTGCTCACTAGTCCTCCTTTCACTGGGAAGATTCTGAACATGCACATGCACCTTTTAACTCAACTCCCCTTCCTCACTTAAAAACAAACTACAGATGTAATATATGTCACTGCAGTAAAATTAGAAAAAAATTAAAATGAATTGAATCACTTAGAATCTATTCATCCAGAAAAACCAATGTTAACATTTTGGTGCATACACATCTAGACATTTTTCTCATGCTAAGGTATTCACAAATATTTTACGTTTACAGAAAGAAAATCATGCCATCCAAAACATTTTTTTTTAAAAAAGCAACTTACAAGACTCTCATCAGCATCTTTCCACCTGTCATTTTTTTTCAACAATAAAAACGTCTAAGTACAAAACACACTACAGATAATAGGCAGTCAGCACTCACATCAAAGAGTTCAACCTTTCTAAGGCCTTTCATGCAATGTAAATATTCTCTTTCTAATTGGTATAAACATAAGACAAGCACTTACAATAAAAAGCTACAGTTTTCTTCTAAAGAGTTTTAAAAGCACGCTCTTTTCCACCTTCATTTTGAAACAAGTATATATTTTCCAGATTTTAAAAGAAATGAAACACAAAAATGCCACAGGAAAACTTGAACTAGAACCGACACTATATGTCCAATTTAGTGTCAGTCTTTGCTTTATCTCTTTGCTAAGAGATAAACTGCCTCAAATCACTCGTGTCCCTTGGTTCTACTGAAAAACAAGACCAAAAGGAGTTATAAGCACCCTAACAAGTGGCTTACACTGTACTGGCTGGAGACTTATAGCCGGGACCGAGGCCTGAAGATTGAGGCTACAAGATCGGTCCAGGGACGCGCCGCCGGAGGGTCAAGATGCCACCCGGCAGGGCCTGAGGGCCAGTGTGGCACCGACGGGCGTCCCGGGCCCAGACGCCCGGAGGGGCCCCTCAGGAGCCACCGAGACCCAGCCGCCTCCACCCCAGCGCCACGCACCGGCCCCGACGACTAGCGGAAACTCCCAAGTCCCGACCCCGGAGGCACCTTTCGGAAAAAAACAGCGGGGGGCCGAGGCGAGCCAGGGTGGAGGCATCCTCCACAGGGGATGGAACTGCCTTCGGGATGGGGGAGGGGAGCGCCATCCCGCCCGAAAACGAAGGCAGGGTTTCAGTTTAAAAGACGCCATCCGGTCTTCCCTGCCCTCTCCCGCAGGAAGCTGCGGCCGCACGCCCGCGGCCCCTGCAGCAGTGCAGAGCCCAACCCGCTCCGCCCTCACACTCACCAGTCCTCGGGCCCCGCCCGGCCAGCCCAGGCGCAGCTCCGAGGCGGCGGACAAGGCGCCCGAGCACGGTCGGAGGGGCCGCGCAGCCCTGCCCTCAGGCGCACGGCGGCGGGCGGCGCCGCTCTAGCCCTCACGCTCCCGGGCGCTCTGCCGGGGCAGCCCCACTCCCTCCCCGCGCGCCCTATGCCCTGCCTGCCAGGCCCCCAACCCAGGCTTGGCGGCCGCACTCACCGCCTCGCTCCGCGCCTGCGCCGCACGCCTCAGGGGCCCGCCGTGAGGGCAGGGAGGTGACTAGGTGAGAGTGGGGGCTGGGGAACGGGTGGCTTGGCCTCGCAGCACACCCGGCCTGGGCGGGACCACCGGCCTCGAGTGCCGGGGGTGGCCCGGCGGCCCGCCCGCCCCCTGGCAGGCACCTCCGCGCCGCGGCGGGTCCCTTCCGGGCGGGGGACCGCCCCGCCCGAAACAAGCGGGCGATTCCACCCTCTAGAATTGCTCCAGGCGAGGCTGCCGAAGGAACTTTCCCCCGCCCGACCCCGGCCCTCCCTCCCGCACGGAAGAAGTGGGAGAAGCGACGCGCGCCAGGCGCCCTTTTCCCACTAAGCTCCTCCTGGGATGTGCGAGAATGGTCTTGCTCGGGGTGGTTAAGGCATGTGGCGTTTCAAACCCCAAAAAGGGGCCGCAGCCTATTGGGGACGAAAAGGGCAGCTGTCCACAGGGCAGGAGTGTTAAGCTCTTAAAAGGTCGTGAATCATTGTTAGGCTTTAGCCGGATTCCCTGACTCAAAAAATCTTGGTGGAATGAGTGTGAAATTATAGCGGATTGGATTAGATGATTTAACTCCTTTTCCGACCTTGAGTTTCTAGGAGCAGAGGTAGAGAGGATTAAATTAAGTAAGCGTAAATAAACTTGTGAACAGGGTGTGGTCACATGTTTTATCTTTTTGACAAAGAGTTAAGGTTGTTAGTCCCAATTTACAAACTAGTAAAGTGAGCTTGTGAGGGTCTAGAGACTAGGTTTTATTCATTTGTAGCCTCAGCACCCGGTTCAAATAATTGTTAAATGGATGATGAAGCCCATATGGAGTGTCATGTGCCCAAGGTCACTCTAATAGTCAGGACTGCAATCTGTGTCTTTTTATCCATACGTCTACTGTGCTTTTCTTGCTTACCACATACTAACCAACCAACCACCAGATAGTTATCATAGACTTTACTCTGACCCCTTCAACTATCTCCCAGGAGATAAAAGTCATATTTGAAAGAGACACTAGTGTGTGTCTCGATTTTTACGATTTCATAACTTTGATGTGTGTGTTAAGCCCAAATAAACGAATATTTACGAATGCTGGCATGGCCTGAATAAAGTATGAAGAGATTTAGAGGCACCTTTTAATCCTAGTATAGTAAGTTATGGCACGGAATAGGGAATTGACACAGGTTTGTGGAATTTGTAAAGGACAGTATGTTTCGTTCCCTCCTCTTGGGTATTTGGGCTGTTTCTTGATCTGATACGGTGGAAGCCACTAGGGGGTGTTATGGAACCATTTTGAAGGCTTCTCTTTGCCAGCAGTGGTGAAACCATGCAGCGGTCCTGGGAAGGAGATCATTTTGCCCGCCAGCGCCGGCGCCTTCATTCCACTAGCGTTGTGCCCTGGCAGCGAGGAACTTCTGATTTGCGCTGGCAGCTGGACATCAGCTCTCTGTTGACTAAGACAACTCTACTGAGAACCAACTTATAGAAAAGGTACACCTCAACTAAATTTGGGCTTTATTTCTTACACCTCCCGTCAGCCTGGAACGGTAGTGTAATTAATCTGTCTTTGGTTTGGAGTATGTTATTTCTTTATTGGCTTGTTAAGCATCAGGTGATGCTGATGCTGCTCCCAGGATCACACTTTGAGAACCACTAGCCTAAGGCTTTCCCCACCCAACCTGACATTGGGTAAATACTACAGTGCTTCTCACTATTCCACAGATAGGCTCCAGTTCTTTCTCATCTGTGTGTTTTGGTGTGTTTCTTCCACCTGCAATTCCTTTCCTTTGCTTCTGTCCCTAAGATCAAGGTCACAGTTTATCTCTTCTGTGAAGTCTTTGATTTTCCCTAGCAGAGATCTCTGATCACTCTTCAGAGATTTTATAGCATTTGGTGCTTCAGTCCACTTATCATCAAAGATGCATTTACTGTGGAGATAACAAAGCTTTAAGCTTCAAGTCCCCGCAAGTGCATGAACATCTTCTAGGATGAGGTACTTAATTTTGCATTTGTAATTTTGTTATTTTTCTTAAATTGGTGCCCTCAGTTGGCATAAGCTTCTGTTCTCACAAAATTTGGCTCCACCCCTGTTTATCATATTGTCTGTCCACAGACTTTGAATTCTAGTTTTATTATATTCCAGTCTGTTCCATCTCCCTGCTTAGCACAGGCATAGAGCCTGAATAAAATAGTCATTGCATATCTATCTTATGTCCAGCACTGTATTAGGTACTAGGGATACAGTATGAGCAAGATGGACACGTTCCTGCCATGCTGGTCCTAATAGTAGAGAAGATAGGCAATGAAACAGCATTGGAATGTAATGACTAAACATATATAAGGTAAGTAAAGAGTGTATGGGAGCTCATGACAGGTGCCTAGCTTGGTCTAAGGAGGATGGGGCAGGTAAAGAGTCTAGGGATTCAGCTTGTTGAATGAATTGATAAACTCTATCCAGGTTACCTAGCCTGATGACACTAGTGTAGACCTAACTGGGCGCCATAGTCCTGACTCATGAGGCAATGGCATGCCATAGTCTTGCATCAGGGACCTCACATTCCCAACAGAGAAAACTGTACTCCGTAATTCTGAGCCACCTACACGGCAGAGGTCTTCCAAGCAGCCAGCCCAGTGCTTTCAAAACCAGTAAGCCCAGATCTAGCCAGCCAGTCAGTCCACTCACTTTGCTTCCTTAAAATAGGACAGAGATAGTCTTTTGGCTTTAAAAGTCTTACTCCATTTCTTCTTCTCTGAACCTCATCTCTGGGAGTCTACCTAGACTCTGTACTAGGTCAAGTTCTCTTCTTGGCTATAAAAATTTTTCACTCAGTGCTCAATTTTCAATTGCTATTAGTCTTTATTGTTTCTTAAACTGAATGAATCAATGAATGGATACATAAAATCAGACTAGACTTCTTTATTAGAATATTAATTATACCTTCTACAGTGTTTGTGTGGTACTTTTCATTTTCTAGAGTATTGACTTTATTTATAGCATCTGGGAAGGAAGGTCAAGTGTTGTATCCATTTGATAAATTTGAACTCAGACACTCATACCTATGAGGATCTGAAGGCTAAACCTGTCAAGGGAAACTGAGGTTAATAGATGATGAAAAGAAGTAAATAGGTATATTTGATATCCCTAGGAAGTAAATAGGTATATTTGATATCCCTAGGAAGTAAATAGGTATATTTGATATCCCTAGGAAGTAAATACATATCTTTGATATCCCTAGGAAGTAAATACATATGTTTGATATCCCTAGGAAGAAAACTCATTAACTGGTTAGGTCTGTGGTAGGCATTACTACTGTTCAACAGTATCGAATTTCTGGTGCTCTCTACTCTCAGCCATACAGGTGATTTTACTCCTTGTCCTGTTTAAAGTTGGGTAGAGCCACATGACTGGCTTTGGTCATTGAAATGTCAGTAGAAGTGCTCTGTGTCACTCTTAGGTGGAGGCAATTCATTCCGGTGCTTGCTTCTCTAGCCCTCCCTTCCTCTGTCTGGAGAGCTATCAGGACACAAAGCAGACATGACATGAGCAAGAAACACTTTTGTTGTGTTAAACTGATAAGCTTTGGGGATTGTTTGTTATTGAAGAATCACGTTCTGGGAGTTCCCTGGTGGCCTAGTGGTTAAGATTCGGTGCTTTCACCTGCGGAGGACCAGGTTGGGGGAACCATCTCACATGCCACTCGGCGCAGCCAAAATAAAATAAATAAATAAATAAATGAAACATTAAAAGAAAAAACCCACTATGATTAAAAAAAAATCACTTCCATCACTGACTGAGACAAAGGCTAAATTTATACATTCCTTCATCCAGGGTGTGAGGCTAAAGAACAGAGTCTATTAAAATCTATATTCCATTAGTGTGTCTTTGGATTTTAAATTCAATTATTTATTCATTTAACGAGCATTTATTAAAGCTTACTAGTTGCAAGATAACTGTGGTAGCCACTATGGAGGGGACAATACAAAAATATGTTTTTAGTTACTTGTATAGCAGCCTTATCAGGCCACACTGAAAATCTATGTAAATCTCTTAGAACTGTAATTTTCTTGGAGTATTTTCATGTAGCAGTTCTCATGTCTTACACCAAGTGGTGCCCCTTAGTAAATGGTAACAATGGGAGCTGCTTTTGATGATCAGGAAAATCTAGAGTTTATCTGTTCTGAACTTTGACTAGTCTAAACTGAGTAGCATTGCTTTTCCTGTTGGCAGTCAAAAACCGGAAAGACATAATTATTTATGATGATCACTAATCACAGTGAAACACCACCTCCTGGAGGCAGTGGATGGGAACTCTTGGGGTGTCCCAAGTAGACCGTCTGCTTTGAGAAGGTAAGAAATCAGTCTGTCTTGCTGACTGCTAATCCCCAAAGCTTACCTAGCACAGTGCTGACAGAGTGACCACCTAATATTTACTGTATGAGTGAAGCACAAAATGAAAGGATGCATGAAATCCTTGCCACAGTGTAAATATTTGTACAACGTTTAGTCCGTTTTGTGTGTTCAAAGTATGTTTAATGACAAAGATTTACTTCGTAGGCATTCCTCTCATATTCAGTTTTCCCCCCAAATACGTTTTGAAATATTAAATCTGTTTTGAAATAGGAAAATTGATATGGAGTCTTAAGGGGAAGGGTAACATCAGAACAGGCTTAGCTTGGGACTTCCCTGGTTGTCCGGTGGGTTAAGACTCTGAGCTCCCAGTGCAGGGGGCATGGGTTCGATCTGTGGTTAGGGAACTAGATCCCACATGCCGCAACTAAAAGATCCCGCTTGCTTCAACCAAAGATACCGTATGCTGCAATGAAGGCCCAATGCAGCCAAATAAATGAATAAATAAATATCAGAACAAAACAAAACAACAAAATAACAAGCTTAGCTTAGTTACCCTTAAAAAGCTACAAGATTTTCAGGTACTTTGAAGCCATTAAGAAAAGAAAAAAGATTTGAGGAGGAACATCAAAAAGAATGTAGGTCATGATTTTATTGCCCTTCACAGGTGTAAAATCCCTTTAAGAATTTTTAAATGGATTATATATCATTGATTTACTCATAAAAATGATGAGGTTCGGCATATTCAAAGGGTAGTTTACTTGGACAATAATCTCACTAAATTTATTGTTTTCATTTTTAACCTGCGTGCATTTTGGATATTTTCATGACTTTTATAAACTTTCCAAATGTATATAAGAATAGAGAGAATAATAAATGTACCCTCATATACCCATTTTCAATAATTACCAAACCATACTTGACTTTTGTTTTTTTCCTTTTGCTCTACCGCCTTCCCTCCCTCCGTCCTTTTTGTCTTTTTTCTCTTTTTCAAGCATTTTGAGAAAACTCCAGGTCATTTCACTCTTACACAATTCTCTATAAAATATGGATATTTTCTTACATAAACACACATAATTTTCACACCTAACAAAAAGAACATTAATTCCTTAATATCATCAAAGACACAAATTTCTCTGTCTTACACATGTCCTTTTTTCAGTTGGTTTGTTTAAAAACAAGATCCAAGCAAGGTCTATAGTCAAACCTACTTGTTATGTTTGTTTAGTTGCAATTAAGCTGGAAAAAACCCCTTCCCACTTTTTTCATGTCATTGATTGTGGAAGATGAATTTACATTTTTTTACTTTCAATGTTTTAAATTTTATTACAAACAGAACTCTAAAAATTTGCACTTTAAGGAATTTTGCTTCTCTTAGTCTTTGCTAGCTTACAAAAAGAAGGCAGAAGTACAAAACAAAATAGCCAGGCTTCTGGGGTGGGGGAGAGAAATTACTCGTTTTTGATAATTTATTTGGCTCTGTTAATATTAAACAGATTCAGAGGTCTCATTTTCTGAGGAGAAACAAAACATTATTGAGTACAACTAAATAATTCAGTCACATTTTCCAAGCTTATAACACTTCTTGCTTCTTTGGCTGTTTCATTTTTATTTCTGTAAGGACCTCTGAAAATTAAAGGTTAAAATCAAAATCATTGAGACTGAGACTTCCAGTTCTCTATCTCCATATATCTTACATTCTTCCTTATGAACAAAATCCTTACTTGAGACTGAAATGTCCAACTTAAAAACTGTGTTTTCCAGCCTCCCTTGAAGATAGAGGTGGTATTAAGACACAGGTCTAGCCAATGAGATGTAGGCAGAGGTAGTTGTGAGGGAATATGAGGAAAGCTTCTTTTTAAAAATGGAGACAAAACAGTTCACAGAGAAAGAAATAGAAGTGGCCCTTAAACATATGAAAAAAATACTCAAATTAATTCTTATTAATATAAATACAAATTAAAACTACCCTGGGACTTCCCTGGCGCTCCAGTGGTTAAGACTCCATGCTTCCACTGCAAGGGGTGCATGTTCGATCCTTGGTCAGGGAACTAAGCTTCCACACGCCACGCAGCCCTGAGCTATCATTTCTAACTATCTGATTGGCATAAATCCCAAAATTTGGCAACAAACTCTTGGAGAAGTTGCAGGGAAACCAGCGATTTCATGAATGCAAAATGGTATAACCTCTGAGGAAGATTTTGACAATATTAGCAAAATTACAGGTAAATTTACCATTCAATTGATAAATCCCACTTCTAGAAATTTATGCTTAAAATACACCAGCGCAAATATGAAGTCACATATGCACAAGCTTTGTGTGTATGTTTTAGCCTTTTCCTGAGTTTTTTTTAATATAAATTTATTTATTTTATTTATTTTTGGCTTCATTGGTTCTTCGTTGCTGCACACGGGTTTTCTCTAGTTGCGGCCAGCGGGGACTACTCTTCGTTGTGGTGCGCGGGTCTCTCATTGTGGTGGCTTCCCTTGTTGCAGAGCATGGGCTCTAGGCGCGCAGGCTTCAGTAGTTGTGGCACACGGGCTTAGTTGCTGCGCGGCATATGGGATCCTCCCAGACCAGGGCTCGAACCCGTGTCCCCTGCATTGGCAGGTGGATTCCCAACCACTGCGCCACCAGGGAAGCCCTCCTTCCCTGGTTTCTTAAATATGAGTTTCTTTTTTTTTTTTTTTTTGCTGTACGCGGGCCTCTCACTGTTGTGGCCTCTCCCCGTTGTGGAGCACAGGTTCCGGACGCACAGGCTCAGCAGCCACGGCTCACGGGCCCAGCCGCTCCGCGGCATGTGGGATCTTCCTGGACCGGGGCGCGAACCCGTGTCCCTTGCATCGGCAGGCAGACTCTCAACCACTGCGCCACCAGGGAAGCCCAATATGGGTTTCTTAAATCATATTTGATTGTTGAAGCAAAAATTATAACATTATATAATGTGCTCATTGTATATAGAGGAAATGCATGAGATTATTGTGCTTAAAAAGTGGAGGGGGTAAAGTTAGACTTCTACATTTCCCTTGAAGTGGTAAAACATTCATACCAGTAGGCTATGGTAAATTACATATGTGTATTCTAATAAGTAGAGCAAATACTAGGAAAACTATACAATGCAATGTACTAAAAAACACTTCAAATAAATAAAAATGGAATCCTAAGTGTCCAAAAATCCAAGGAAGGTAAGAAAAGAGAAGCATAGGAATGATAAACAGAGGAAACAAACAGAGAAAACAAATAACAAAATGACTTACTTAAGCCCTAACTTATCAATACTTACTTTAAATGTAAGTGGTCTAAATACATCATTAAAAGATGGAGATTGGGGGCTTCCCTGGTGGTGCAGTGGTTGGGAGTCTGCCTGCCGATGCAGGGGACACGGGTTCGGGCCCTGGTCTGGGAGGGTCCCACATGCCGCGGAGCGACTGGGCCCGTGGGCCGCAGCTACTGAGCCTGCGCGTCTGGAGCTTGTGCTCCGCAACAAGAGAGGCCGTGACAGTGAGAGGCCCGCGCACCGCGATGAAGAGTGGCCCCCGCTCGCCGCAACTAGGGAAAGCCCACGCACAGAAAAGACCCAGCACAGCCAAAAATAAATAAATAAATGAAATTTAAAAAGATGGAGATTGGCAGTGTTGATTAAAAAATATTTGACCCAATGATAGCTGCTTACAAGAAACTTCAAATTCAATGGCATAGGTAGGTTGAAAATGAAAGAAAAAGTAAAATAGCCAAAATTGATATCTATTTGATTTCTTTGTAAGCTTTTACTAACATTTTTTATAGTGAGCAACATTTCTTACCAAATTTCTATGGAGAGTGTAATTTCAAAATTATTTTTGTTTTCTGCCAAAGCTCTTGATCCACTTTAAAAAGCTTTTATTTATTTATTTATTTCAGCTTTATTGAGATATAATTGACATATAACATTGTGTAAGCTTGAGGTGTACAATGTGGTGATTTGACATACACATATCACAAAATGATTACCACAATAAGGTTAGTTAACACATATTGTTAACTGTAGTCACCATGCTGTACATTAGATCCCCAGATTTATTCATCTTATAAATGGTAGTTTGTACCCTTTGACCACCTTCACCCATTTCCCTTACCAGTTCCCCACTGGCTCCTGGAAACCATCAATCTATTCTCTGTTTCTGTGAGTTCATTTTTTTTTTAGATTCCATGTATAAGTGAGATCATACGGTATTTGTATTTCTCTGACTTAATTTCATTTAGCATAACACACTCAAAATTCATCCATGTTATTGCAAATTGCAGGATTTCTTTCTTTTTTAATGACTGAAAATATGCATATTTATATATCACAAATATAAATATATATATATATTTATATTTATCACAATTTCTTTATCCATTTATCCATGGATGGACATTTAAGTTGTTTCCATGTCTTGACTATTGCAAATAATGCTGCAGTAAACATAGAGGTGCAGATATCTTCGAGATAGTGATTTTACTTCTTTTGGATATATACCTAGAAGTAGAATTACTGGATCATATGGTAGTTTTATTTTTAATTTTTTTGAGGACCCTCCATACTGTTATCCAGAATGGTTGTAGCAATTTACATTCCCGCCAACTTTTCTCCACATCCTGGCCAGCACTTGTTATCTCTTATCTTTTTGATAATAACCATTCTAACGGATGTGAGGTGATATCTCATTGTAGTTTTGATTTACATTTCCCTAGTGATTAGTGATGTTGAGCACGTTTTCATGTACCTGTTAGCCATCTGTGTATCTTATTTGGAAAAATACCTATTCAGGTCCTTTGCCCATTTAAAATTAGATTATTTGTTTCTTGCCATGAGATGTAGGAGTTCCTTATATATTTTGGATATTAACCCCTTTTTAGATAGATGGTTTGCACATATTTTCTCCCATTCCATAGATTGCCTTTTCACTTTGTTGATCATTTCTTTTGCTGCACAGAAGCGTTTTAGTTTGATGTAGTCCCACTTGTTTATTTAAGC